CTGTCAATTTCACTTTTGCATCATCTCTAGAATATGCCCTCTTCTCTCCTCTAACTTTGAGACCATCCTGGTGCAGGTATTCAAGCCTTAATTACTACAATAGCCTTCTGGTGGTTCTGCCTGACTCAAGTCTCTCCCTACTCCAATCCATTCTCTGTTTAGCCATGAAAGAGATTTGCCTAAAGTGCAGGTCCAATCATGTCACACACACCCCCACCCCCACTCAGTAAACTCTAGTGGTTTCCTGTTGCCTCTAGGAGCAAATATAGAATGCTCTGTTTGGCATTCAGACCTCTTTCTACCCTAGCACTCTTCTACCTTTCCAGTCTTCTTATACCATACTCCCCAATGTAAACTCTTCAATCCAGTGAGGTTGGCCTCCTGACTGTCCTAGGCACTCTGTCTCTCAGTTCTACATATTTTCTGTGGCTATCCCGTGTGCCTGGAATGCTTTCCCTCCCCACTCTGACTACTGACCTCTCTGGCTTCCTTTAAGTTCCAACTAAAATCCAGTCTTCTATAGGAAACCTTCCCTAACCCCTCTTAATTCCAGTGCCTCCCCTCTGTTAATTATTTCTTATTTATCCTGTATATAACCTGCCTTGTATATATTTGTTGTCTCCTCCACTAGATTATAAGCTCCTTGAGGGCAGGGAGTGTCTTTTGCTTCTTTTTCTATCCCTAGTGCTTAGCACAGTGCCTGGAATGGTAGGCATTTAATAAATATTTGATGATTGATTGATTGATCTAGTTCTGTGTTTTTATTTTTGAAGGGCCACATCTTACATTAAGACCATTTCTTTTTTTTTTAATTAATTATTTTATTTTTAGTTTTTATCATTCATTTCCATAAGATTTTGAGTTTCAGATTTTCTCCCCATCTCTCCCCAGGACAGCATGCAATATGATATAGGCTCTACATGTGCATTCATATTGAACCTATTTTCACATTAGTCATGTTGTAAAGAAGAGTTAGAACCAATGGGAGAAACCATGAGAAAAAAGAAACAAACAACAAAAAAGGAGATATCAAATAATGTGCTTCCATTTGCATTCAGACTCCATGGTTCTTTTTCTGGATATGGACAGGATTTTCCATCATGACACCTTTGGAGTTGTCTTGTATCTTTGCATTGCTGAGAGGAGATGAATCTGTCAAAGGTAGTCATTGCACATTGTGGCTGTTACTGTGTACAATGTTCTCCTGATTCTGCTCACTTCATTCAGCATCAGTTCATTCAAGTCTTTCTAGGTTTTTCTGAAATCTGCTTGCTCATCATTTCTTATAGCACAGTAGTATTCCATTACATTCATATACCCCCACTGATGGGCATCCCCTCAATTTCCAATTCTTGGACACCACAAAAAGAGCTGCTATAAATATTTTTGTATATGTGGATCATTTTCCCATTTTTATGTTCTCTTTGGGATACAGACCTAGAAGTGGTATTGCTGGGTCAAAGGGTATGCACATTTTTGTAGCCCTTTGAGCATAGTTCCAAATTGCCCTCCAGAACGGTTGAATCATTTCACAACTCCACTGACAGTGCATCAGTGTTCCAATTTTCTCATCTTCTCCAGCATTTATTATTTTCCAGTTTTGTCATGTTAGCCAATCTGATAGGTGTGATAGGTACCTCAA